TATATATTTTTATATATTTATTTTTTAAAATTATTTAATTTAATAAATTATTATAAATTAATCTAATTATGATTAAATTAAATTATTAAATAAAAAATATTTTATTTTTTAATTAGGTGAATAATTAAATTATATTAAGTAATTATTATATAATTTTACCTACGGATATATCCGTCGGTAACTAATTGTTAATTTATCGACAAAAATATCCGTTGGTAAATAATTGTTAATTTACAGATGAATTTACAGACGGATGTAAATTCATCTATAAATTACTGATGGATTTATTGACGGATATATCCGTCGGTAACTAATTATTATTTTACAGACGGATATATCAGTCGGTAATATCAAATTCCACAAATATTTTATATCCATCGGTAATTTTCATCGGTAATGATTATTTTACTGACGGCTACAAATCCGTTGGTAAAAATCCGTCGAAAATACGCGATTTTCTTGTAGTATTTAAAACATATTTTGAATTCAAATATAAAAATATTTTTGAAATTATGGCATTATAAATCTGAGATAATTAAAATTTACTTGTAAATATTATTATCTTTTATATATTTGAGCCGAGAGAGTGTATATATATCTAAAAGAATTTCAATTATTATCTTAAACTTATTTAATGTTATTATATTAAAAATATTTTGCTTTTAAATTTAGGAACCATTTATTATGATTCATGGTAAGGTAACTTAGAAATTTTAATTATTTATTTAAGAAATCAAAGAATATTAAATGAATTCAACCATTGATATTCTTATATGTGAAATTAGTTATAAATTATAAATTACATGGATAAAATTAGTTGCAGATAACAAAACAAGTCAATTTATCCTATTTGGGTCATCCTAGTCTATTAAAACAAATACAATAAATATCAGTATGTTAATTTTATATAAAATTTGTTTATATTAATTTTTTAAAGAATATATTTTCAATTATGAGAATAATTTTAAATTTTTATTTATTAATTAAATATTTTATTAAATAAATTAAAAAATTATTATATTTATAAGTTAAAATACTCAATTATAACTAATAACTTAAATTTAATTGGTTATTATTTCTTATTTAAATTATAATATTTTAATATATAAATATTTTTTAAAAATATGTTGGTCGATTTTATTCGATCTTTAGCTTATCTAGTTAGTGGGTCGATCAAAATTGAGTGATAGAATAAAATTATCAACTTATCGTTTGCGGGATCTAACCCACTTTATGATCTATATATAATATTTTAAAATTATAATAAATACAATAAGTATTAATTTATAGAAATATTTGTATATTAAATATTTAAATGATTTTAATAATTAATCTATTTTATTATTTTGTTCATGTAAAACAAAATTCAATATTTTGGTTATGTAATACAAAATGTTATTATGATAATCCTTATGGTTAAGGTTTTGGGATTTTGATTTTAAGATTTATTTGATTAAATAGGAGGGTGAATTTGAAATAGTACAATGAGAAAGAAAGAAAAAATTATTTAATTTTAAAAGTTTTTATTTATTATTTTAATATTATTTTTTAATTATTTATTATTATAATTTTTCTTTTAACAAAAATTATCTAAAAGAAAATTAAAACATATTTTCCTTTTATTTTTCCTAAATTTGGAAACATAAAAAATATAAATAATTATCGTAATATTTAAAATGACACATGGTGTCATGTGGCACCACCTGTCTTTAATGATATCACATTTCATTTCATGTGTCTTGTCACATGATGATACAATTGTAAGTTTGTGTTTAGATTTGTTGATATTTTGTTCATGCAAATGAAACAATGAGGATAAGTTTCATTTGGATCGATTTGAACAGATTTGTGAGAGTGGATTTGAGAGAGAGCGAATGAAGTGTCCCTGTTATAACGAGGAGAAGAGCAAAGAAACATGTCACAAAGGTTGTATTTACATTCTTACCTCTATCCATGCGTCTCACTTGAACCACAGTTTTGCTCCGCTTGACATTATTGTCATGGTAGAGAATCTTCTTAGATAGGATTGCTCAAGCATATAACGACTACAATACTCATTACCTTGTAATGTTTGAATTTGTCATTGAATATGTGAGAAGATGTGCTTTTATTGTGTAACTTCGTTGTTCGTGTACAAGAGGAGTACATTGGTCATATGCAAGAATTATGGTTTTCTGACTCATAATGAATACATTGATCGTTTGCATTATGTGGTTAGGTGTTATTTGTGTGTGGCGTGTATCTTGATGACAGATAATCGAATCTCAAGGGAAGAAAATTGATTTTTGGTGAAAAAAGTTGCAAGAACTCGTTTCTCCATATCTACAGAATTGATTATCTACGAATTGATTTAATGAGTACAATGAAGAATTGATTATCCATTTACCAAAAGTTTATTCTAAGCCAAAAAGAATTGATTCTTGGCTAAAGTGACTAAAGAAAATCGATCATCAAGGTAAAATCGATTATGTTTTGTACACGTTTTTGCAGTTCTCGTATTAGATCAGGATAATTATGAAATAAGATGTAGATAATTTGACAATGTCCTAATAAAATACCTAGTGGAGAAGCATAGGAAACTTCCATTTATTTATTACAAGCCGTTTCTTTTCCCTACCCGTCTCCCCTCATAATGCTTTATTGGAGAAGTTTTTTTTAAGTAGATCAAGACATTTTCTGCAAATATAATCTGTTATATTATTTTCCTAGATGAAAGAAATACTCTTTTTTATTTACAATTAATTTTCTTTATATTCACTTAAATAAAAAAAATCTATGTAAGAATTTATCATGAAAATTAATTTGAAGATTTAATTGAATATTTTAAAAATAATTTATTCAACTCATAAGGCACATAGGGCAAAGAATTCCACTAAATTCAAACAAACCTACCTATACAAAACAATTATGTGTCATTATGATGACAACTAAATAATTTTGTAAATAACATCTTAAATCCTGCGTGTAAATGACATTGTTGGTTGATGCTTTGTCTATTAAAGAAGTGTTTAAAATCTATTAAAAAATAATTAATTTTTATCATTGATTTAATTTTATTAATTTTTATCATAAATAATCACATATTATTTATTTTTATCAAAATAATATTTTTTTCAATAAATTATTTTTAGTTTAATTTAAATTAACAACTATATTTTAATTTAAAATAAATTTATCAATTAAAAGTAGCTCCCACAACTTATTAATTTAAATTGTAATATAGACTGAAATCCTGGTTCATCGACGGAACCTCAAAATATAATATGACAACTTATTTATATAGATACATACAAAAGTAGCTCCCACAAAGATCATCCTACTGAATTATTCCTGTTGCCTAGTAGTCGCATCTCCACCTCTTAACTCCTTATCTGCTCCCACATAAAAGTGATCATCGCAGTCTCATCCACATGAAAAAATAGGGGTAAGTATTAAATCATTCGATATAATAAAACAGATATAAAAATAATAATTACATATTATCATCAATTACAAATCATCAATACACTAAGACGTCTTTCAGAAGTCTACCCTAACTATGCCCGAACTCAGAGTCTACCCTAACTACATTGTGGTCAGTACTCGCAGTACCATCCTGACCACCCTCCACACAGAGTGAGATTACTGACGCCCTTCATCACTCATTCTGGAGTACCCTTCCGAGCGCGCCACCAGTCATCCCCCATCGATTTCTCACTACCTGATCTTGTAGCCTACCTGACCTGACCAATCAGTGAAGTATGGGATCTCATCTGAATCCTCCGACATAGTTAGTACACTAATATACTTTGTACCACCCCGAGTACCATTCAAACACAACAACAATCATTCACATCTGTCGGATTCTGGACCACCTGTCCTCACGGCTCATTTGAGTCAATAAATAATAGTACTTGATTGATTCTGGGCACCAACCCTCCAGCTCAGTCTAGCCAATACATAACATCTCATGATTGATTCTGGGCATCAGCTCTCGGGCTCAGTCTGACCCACACACGTCACAACACATTGCTTGATTCTTTAAAATTTCTAATTTCATTCCATATTTTAATTATTTTTCCTAACATACATTTACTTTATTTTTAAAATTCCAATTATACCTTTAAACATTTTTCTATTATTCCTTTTTCATCCAGAAATTATTAAATTACTATTTTGCCCTTAATCTTTTCTTAAAATTTCATGTATGTCCCTAAATGACTATTTTACCTTGGACATTTTCTATTATTCCTTCCATGTCCCAAAAATGACTATTTTACCCTTGTTATTTTCGAAAATTCCATTTATGTCCCTAGGATGTAAAATGATTATTTTACCCTTAATCTTTTTCAAATTTCTTCTCTTATCCATTTTTTCTTCCTTGCTCCCAAGTACGCATGTTCAATGGTTTTCTTTTTTTCCAGTTCCAGACAACCAAACTAGTTCAAAATCCAAATTAAACCATAAACATGTTCAATTTAAGTAAAAAAACAACAATTGTAATATATAATTCATCCTTAATTTCAAGAATTCCAACCAAATTTCAAGTTTTCAAATATAAAAAAAAACTTCAAAACCAGTCGTTCAAATATTTAGATTTCTACTCCTATTCTTTATTCACAGAGTACCCAACAATTCAATCTCATATATTGAATGAAATAAATTTTTCCTTATCTTATGTGGTATTTCTATCGAAGTTTTCCCACTTAATCTAAGTTTTCTCTCGTTTTACCAGATTCTGCACGAGTAAAATATCGTTTACTTGAAATTTAAACAAAAAAAGAAAAAGAACGAAAAACACATGATATGGGAGGGAAAATCACTTGTTGAAATTCATGCCTCTTTCCCATCTTCGTATGTATATATAAAATATCTTGCTGTGCAAAGAAAACTTTACTATGAAATTTGTGCACTGTGGAGTATTATTATAATATATAATAATAAATAATAATAAAAACATACATCACAAATGGGACATGAGGTTGCTTTAAAATATCTCGATAGTGTAAGGTACAACCAAATTACGCATAGTACAAGACTAGGCTACTTTCAGCAGCACATGCAACTAGATTGCATGAAGGATGCCAAGCTACATGTAGCAACTTGGGGCGTAAATTACAAGTGAAGTCAGCACTACTAGACTGTGAATCGGGGTGAGCTGCAAAACAGAAAGGGGCGTCAGGTTAAGGTCAAAATGGGATAAAAAGAAAATGGTGAAAAAAATATATGTATAGGAAAAGCCAACCGTGCTGGTAAATTCCACGAGGTATTATGTTGCTTAGAGAAGGTCTTCTAACCCTTGACTTAGCTTGGTCAATAGCCTTCCTGACAGTGGTAAAATAAGAATAAAAGAATAAGTATACGGATTAGATATTTCAAAAACATAGAATGCCGATTTAGTTTGGCATTCATCAAGTTATAGAGACATGATTTCACAAAACATAGGAACTGAATTGTTGTTTGTTAGCCACGTTGAAAGGTGCAGAACTTTTATTTTACATGTTTTACCGAGGAGAATGTTTGCACTTCACAAGCTCAAAAATTAAAAGAAAAATAGTATGGATACAGTATTATTGTCACTCTGGTGCAGTTGTAGGCAAATGGTACCAAAATTAGTATTGGGGTTAGGGGAGAGGAGGCTCTCTCAAAGATCAAACAACAATCCGTGATAATAAAGTTAACCGTTAATAAACTACTCCAGAAACTAAAAAAAAAAAGGCTTTTTCTTTTTAAAGTTCGTATACAGTCCAAGGGATTTACCTGTCAGAATTTCCTCCAATTTCTAGTTTGATCCCTTCCTCCCTCCCAGAGCCTCGGGAGAATATCCGCAAGAGATTGCTATGACAAAACAGGCACTGTTTTAGTAATCAATGGTTTGAGGTTAAGAAAACTGATCCACAATAAAATAACTAATAAGATATTGCATTTGGTTTAAAAAGGACAAACCTATAAGAACCAGTTGCAAAATGGAGTCCATCACCACTAAAGCAGCACTCAAATTTATCAAATATGCAGTCATTATTATATAGCTCTGGCAACTGCATTAAAAAAAGGGACCAGTTTTTTCATAATAATTTCATAATAAGCCTTTTTCATAAAAAAAATTATTTATAAATTCATAAGAAAACAAGAAAAGGAGAGGGGCACATGAAATGTGCAGGTATTCACAAAGCCAAGGCATAAAGCCTTACTCTCTCATTCACCGCACAGGGATGAGTGGTGATTAGTAAATGACAGCATTTTATGAATGATGGATGACAACGAATTGCTAAAAATTCTATTACCACTTTAGCAACGATTGGAATTGGGAAATGCAAAGATGATAAGAGGAAAGGTTCCGACAATTATGCTTCATTATACAATTAAACAAAATCCTTAACGTACAAATTTCTACAACAAACCTTAGGACGCAGATGGTCGTGAATTTTGAATATTGCCACTGGAGATGACTCCATACGCATGTCCCAAAGCTAAAATAAAAAATGAAATTATATAAATGCCTGAAGTAAATGAAGAAGCATATAAGAAATCAAAGCATATTGTACAGTTTTTTCATTTACATTTTGCATTTTGAGAAATAGTGTAACTAAAATTGATTAACTATATTCTCTGTTCATTGCAACTTAGCATATCCAAGCCAATTTAGTCAACCAATTGACAAAAATAAGGTGTGTGCATTCAAAGAAACAGTTAAAAAACAATGTTGGCTTCAAAAGGAAACATTTTCTAATTTCCTAACTTCTAAGGTGGTACTTGACCAAAAGAACATACAAATTCCAAAGGCCAAGGAAAGAGCAAGTCTAACTGAGCACCCCCCAAACCACCGGTGTTTGAAGGAAAAAAATATAACACAAGATAGGCTCCCGAATACAATTTTGAAATCAAATTCTACACGACTGTAGTAATAATCGGAAAACCTTCATATTCATGTAATTGCGACTTATAAGTTGATGGCCATCATTCAAAAACTTAATGTCTGAGATGGAACAAGTGATTTCTGTAAAAAATGACTTTGATCCATAACTCTGTCCATGTTGAAATCTGTACAATCAAGCTGAATGAGAAATATCAGAACATAGGAATAGTTGAGCAAACAGTAAAATCAAAGAAATGACCTATGCCTAAACTCCAGGGAATTGAGTTATATTTTACATTCTAGAAGCATGGTCGCATATTGCTGCATGTCGCAAATCAGAAAGACGAATAAAACCTTGAGAGCTGCTATATGCCAGGAGGTTACAATGTATAGGATGAAATTCAGCTGATGTTATAACCTCTAAACAAAATAGAATAGATCAGTTAAAAGACCAAAATGAGACAGAAATAACTTGGATGCACATATGATGCATATTGCATACGACACACGCACCACATTTAATAATCACTTTAAAGATGGCTTAGGTTGACAAAGAGAATTTCTGAATTGTATATCTCTTATTCAAATTTCAAATAGTACATCTGATATTTAAAGACAAGAAACTGACTTTCTGTTAAGCGTTAAAGTCTGTTAACTATCAACAATCATACAGACATAACTACAATAACAGAAAAACAACGACTCAACTAACAGCCGCTCAATTACAAACACTAAAAGCTAACATTTAAATATTTCTCTTCTATTGATTGAAATTGGTCAATGACTAACTAATTGACTAGTAGCCTACCATGTATTTAAACTATACCAAATGACATGAGGCAGGTGATGTGGGACCTTCAACACATCTTCTCCAACGAAGCCTGCCGGACCAGACAAAGGGTACTTTTGACCCACAACGAAAGAACAACTCTTGGCTCAAGACAATAACCGGAAAGATGTTAGGCTTTGGCTCAGATATCATGTTAAATATAGAGGAAATAGGGTTTGAGATTAATCTCCCTTGTGTATAAACCACACATAGGGTAATCTATTTATAATAGAGAGAAGTACAACTAAAAGAGTAATTGAAAGTAAACAAAATAAACAGAAGATATTGTTTGATAATGTGGTTAACAATATCTAACAATATCTTAACAATATCAAAAAATATCTAAACAATATCTAACAGTAAGTAATGACTTTGTGAATATATCCGTAACTTGATATTGACTTGTCATGTGCATTAGCTCCACATATCTTTGTTTCACGTGTTTTCAAATGAATTGAAAACGCACATCAATGTACTTATTCATCTCATGGTTAACCGGATTCTTTATTAGTTTAATAAAGAACCTATTATCAAATTGGATCACAGTCACACTGAATTGTTGTTTATCCAATGAGCTCAACAGATTTCTAAGCCACAATGCATGACACACGCACAAGGATATTGTTACATACTTGGCTTCACACGCTGATAGTGTCACTAAGAGTTTTTTCTTCAAAATACTCACATGAAAGCTTATAAGCTGCTAGGCTTGATAAGCAAGAAGGTGGTGCGAGTCACAATGTCGAGTTGATGAAGCAAGTGAGTGGAGCTGAGGTAATTCATCGGAAGATGCTAGTGGAAGCCGAGGATCAATAATTGTTATACTACCAATTATAGAAAGTTCTGAATTCGACGACGAGGAGGAACCACAACCCAGAATGCGAAGTTTACAAGAATTGTACAATTCGACAAATGAGGTACATGTTGTATCTTTTTTTATAGATTCCAAAGACATAAAGTTTGAAGAGGTGGTACATGATGAAATTGACGAGCTACTATGGATGAGGAGATCCAAGATATTGAACGCAACGTCACATAGGTAATGACTGAGTTGTCGAGCTACTCACAACCAATCGGTGTAAAGTGGGTATTTAAAAAGAATACGAATGCACAGGGTAAGGTAGAAATGTATTAAGCTCGATGGGTTGCGAGGGGCTACACACAAAAAGAAGGAATAAATTATGATGAGGTGCTCGCCCTAGTGACGAGAATGGAGACTGTTAGATATTGTTTAGATATTATTTGATATTGTTAAGATATTGTTAGATATTGGTAACCACAATATCAAACAATATCTTCTATTTATTCTGTTACTTTCAGTTACTCTTTTAGTTGTATCTCTCTACTATAAATAGACCACCCTATGTGTGATTTATACACAAGGGAAATTAATTCCAAACCCTATTTTCTCTATATTCAACATGGTATCTAGAGCTTAAGGTTATCTTGAATTTTTTTTCCGTCTTTTGTCCACTGTTGGAACCGCCCCACCGCTGCTAGAGCCGCCCCACCGCTGCTGGTAAACTGATCCTCCACATCAGAAAAGAATTATCTTTGTCATTGAATTTTATTTGGTAGTGTGAAAGTGCATGTTTAGGAAAGTTCTGGCAAGGAAAGACTTGGTATTTAAGTGTGTCCATTAGTGACCCACCTCTCTTTCCTGGGAACTTACCTGGTGTACTAGTTCACGTTACTGTCACCGCTGCCGCTGGAGCAGATCACCGGGTCCGCCACTGTCGGAGAATTCGCCGGAGTTTCATTTTTTTTTACCGGTGACATATGATTTTGCTTGTCTCGGTCAGGTGACCACCGTGCCATTAAGATCACCACTATCGGAGTTGGGTTTGTTCTCCCGCTCTTCATGACTTCTTCCACTATTTCCAATTTTGTTAACGATTCTTTTGTGTTGACATCCCATCGTGATGACCGGGCTCGCCCTCGCAAACAGGAAAAAGGGCGTCCTAAGTGTGAACATTGTGGCAAGCTAGGTCACAAGATTAACAAGTGTTATACATTACATGGTCGTCCTCCTCAGTCTGCTGTAGTTGTTTAGACAAATCTTTCCCCACCTTTATCTGCAGGGGATCTTCCTTCTTCTGTTGCATCCGACATGTCTGCTATGTTCAACAAATTTCTCGAATGGTATAAGGATCAACAGTCTTCTAGTTCCACTATATCTGTCACACATACAAATACATATTTTGCTGGTCTGACCCAATCATTTTCTCCTGGTCCTTGGGTTTTTGATTCAGGAGCCACTGATCATATTACTGGTAACAAATCTTTGTTCTCCTCTTTATCCTCTCCTAATCATTTACCTTCTGTTACACTGGCTGATGGCTCTAGAGTATCATCTCATGGTGTTGGAACGGTTAAACTTTTTCCTTCTTTAACCATTGATAATGTTCTTTATGTCCCTGGGTCTCCTTTTAACCTGTTGTCCATCAGTCGTCTAACTCGTTCTCTTGATTGTGTTGTTACTTTTACCAATAATTCTGTGTGTTTACAGGACCGGAGTTCGAAACAGGTGATTGGCACAGGATGTGAGTCTCATGGTCTTTATTATCTCCGTCCCTCTACACATGTTAGTACAGTTATGGAGTCTCCCTCTCTTCTTCATGCTCAGTTAGGTCATCCAAGTCTTGCCAAGTTACAGAAACTTGTCCCTGCCTTGTCCAACTTATCTAGTTTGGCGTGTGAGTCATGTCAATTAGGCAAGCATAGTCGTACTTCCTTTCTTCGTATTTTCACACGTGGTGCTTCGTCCCCTTTTGCCGTGGTTCACTCTGACATTTGGGGACCTAGCCGCGTTTAGTCTACTTTAGGTTTTCAATACTTTGTTACTTTCATTGATGATTATTCCAGATGCACTTGGTTATTTTTGATGAAAAATCGTTCTGAATTATTTCATATCTTTCAAACTTTTTTTAATGAAATTCAAACTCAGTTCGGTGTTTCTATTAGAGTTTTGCGTAGTGATAATGGCCGTGAATATCTTTCTCATTCTTTTAAACAATTCATGGCTTCTCACGGTATTTTGCATCAAACTTCTTGTGCTTATACACCTCAACAAAATGGTGTAGCTGAACGTAAAAATAGACATCTTATTGAAACAACTCGCACACTTTTAATTCATGGAGATGTTCCTCAACATTTTTGGGGTGATGCTCTTCTTACTGCATGTTATCTCATTAATCGCATGCCTTCTTCGGTTTTAGATAATAAAATACCTCATTCCATTTTATTCCCTCATGAACCACTTCATTCTTTACCTCTAAAAGTTTTCGGGTCTACATGTTTTGTTCATAATTTCAGTTCTGGTCTGGACAAACTTTCTCCTAGATCACATAAATGTGTTTTTTTAGGGTTTACAAGATCACAAAAAGGATACAAATGTTTTTCTCCTTCTCTTAACCGTTATTTTGTGTCAAAAGATGTCACATTTGATGAGTTGTCTCTTTATTTTAAAAGTCAAACTTCACCTCTGTCTCCATCCAATCTTGTCAACACTCCTAATACATTTAATGTTCCTGTTGTTTGTGACCCTCTAACTGTGTCTTCTTCACCATTAGTTCCTGCTCCGCAGTCAGCTTCTTCTCCACTGCCTCTTCAGATTTATAGTTCTCGAAACCAATCACAACCACCACCATGTGATTCTACTCAAGTGCCAACTACTCTGTCTCCTCCGGATCTGACACATGAGTCTGACCTTCCCATTGCCCTCCGAAAAGGTATTCGTTCTACATGTAATCTCGCTCCCCATTATATTGCTTTGAGTTATCATCGATTGTCATTACCTTTTTATACATGCCTTTCCTCTATTTCTTCTGTGACCATTCCAAAAAATGTCCGTGAAGCTTTAGCCCATCCTGGTTGGCAACAGACCATGTTAGATGAAATAAGTGCTCTTCATAATAGTGGAACTTGGGAATTGGTCCCGTTACCGTCTGGAAAATCTGTTGTTGGTTGCAGGTGGGTGTTTGCTATCAAAGTTGGACCTGATGGTACTATTGATCGCCTCAAAGCTCGTCTTGTGGCCAAAGGTTATACTCAAATTTTTGGGTTGGATTATGGAGATACCTTTTCCCCTGTGGCAAAGATGGCTTCTGTTCGTTTATTTATCGCCATGGCTGCTCTTCAACAATGACCTCTTTATCAACTGGATGTTAAAAATGTTTTCCTCAATGGTGATTTGCAAGAAGAAATATATATGGAGCAACCTCCTGGGTTTGTTGCTCAGGGGGAGTCTTCTGGGATGGTATGTCGTCTTCGCAAATCCCTATATGGCCTAAAACAGTCTCCTAGGGCTTGGTTTGGAAAGTTTAGCAAGGTTGTTCAACAATTTGGTATGACTCAGTGTGAATCAGATCATTCTGTCTTTTATCGACACTCGAGTGCTGGATGTGTTTACTTGATAGTATATGTTGATGACATTGTTCTTACAGGTAGTGACAATCATGGCATCTCTCAGTTGAAACAACATCTCTGTCACCATTTTCAGACCAAAGATCTTGGCAAACTTAGATATTTCTTGGGTATTGAGGTGGCACAGTCCAATGATGGTATTGTTATATCTCAGAGGAAGTATGCCATAGATATTTTGGAGGAAACTGGGTTGATGAGTTCAAAGTCTGTTGATACACCCATGGATCCCAATACTAAACTTCTACCAAATCAGGGGGAGCCTATATCTGATCCTGAGCAGGTATAGAAGATTGGTTGGAAAATTGAATTATCTTACGAGTTACTCGTCCCGACATTTCCTTTGCGAGTCAATGTGGTAAGTCAATTTCTTAATTCACCATGTGAAGATCATTGGAATGCAGTCATTCGTATCTTGAAGTATATTAAAGGATCTCCTGGAAAAGGATTGTTATATGGTTCTAATAACCATACAAGAGTTGTTTGCTACTCAGATGCTGATTGGGCAGGATCTCCTTCGGATAGAAGATCTACATCTGGATATTGTGTCTCCATTGGTGGTAACTTGATCTCATGGAAAAGTAAGAAACAAAATGTTGTGGCAAGATCCAGTGCAGAAGCAGAATATAGAGCTATGGCCTCAGCTTCCTGTGAACTTGTTTGGCTCAAGCAATTGCTTAGAGAGTTACAATTTGGAGATGTCACTCAAATGACACTTGTGTGTGACAATCAGGCTGCTCTTCATATTAGTTCTAATCCTGTCTTTCATGAGAGGACCAAACACATTGAGATTGACTGTCATTTTATTCGAGAAAAGATTATGTCTGGAGATATCAAGACTGAGTTTGTTAACTCAAGTGATCAGTTAGCAGATATTTTTACTAAATCTTTACGGGGTCCTAGAATTGATTATATTTGTAACAAGCTTGGCACATACGATTTGTATGCTCCAGCTTGAGGGGGAGTGTTAGATATTGTTTAGATATTATTTGATATTGTTAAGATATTGTTAGATATTGGTAACCACAATATCAAACAATATCTTCTATTTATTCTGTTACTTTCAGTTACTCTTTTAGTTGTATCTCTCTACTATAAATAGACCACCCTATGTGTGATTTATACACAAGGGAAATTAATTCCAAACCCTATTTTCTCTATATTCAACAGAGACAATAAGGTTTTTTTATCTCTCTAGAGCACAGTATAAAGGACTGATCTTGCAAATGGATATTAAGTTGACATTTTTAAATGGTGTGCTCAAGGAAGAATTGTATCTTACACAACCACATGTATAGATGAAAGGAGAGGAGATGAAAGTAATGAGATTGAAGAAGGCTCTGTATGGGCTGAAGCAAGCTCCTTGGATATGGAACGATCGGATAGATACTTATCTTAAGGAGAATGAGTTTGAATAGTGTTCTTATGAACTTGCCTTATATGTGAAAAAAAAAATGGAGGTAGTATAATGTTTGTTACTCTTTATGTTGATGATCTCATTTTTATGGAAAATAATTATGAAAATGATCAAATTGCGGATATATTCACGAAGTTATTACCTATAGTTTGAGAATTGCGGGAAGTTAATAAGGATGAAAGAGACTTTTAGTCAATCGGTCATTAACCAATCTCAGTAATAAAAGAGAAACATTTAGCAGAGGAGTTTTATTGTATAAACTTAAATGCTAATGTTTGTAATTGAGGGATTGTTAGTTATGTAGTTATTTTCAGTTATCAATAATTATGTCTCTATGATCTTAAACGGAAAACAGAATTTAAGACTTAACATAAAGTCGGTTTCCTACCATTAAATACGTTACAATTTGAAATTTGAATAAGAGATATTCAATTCAGAAATTATCTGTAATCAAGTACCACTAGGGTAGAAGAATAGATTCTCCAACATTGAGAAATAGGGAAGATCAGAGTGTAATTTAGCATTGGCAAATAACCAGAAAGGAAAGCATGAAGATATGCAGCTATTGGTCGCTTTGATGGGAAATTTTTTTTACTAAAGAAGCAAAAATATGCCCTTGTTAGTCATATCTATATTCAGTTTTGGAAAATGAAAAAAAGTAAATACTTTTGGAAGATAACAATAGTAAAGACTAAATATGCCATAATCAGAATGGTTAGAGAATATATAACCAATTCTGCCTATTTATATAATCTTTTGTAACTTCATTTAAATTAATAATAATTATCAATTCATCATTAATTTAAATCAATTTACACTTAAATTTGGTTTCAAGGGTTGGATAAAACCTGGGTGAATAAAAAATTCCAAGTATAAAGACTTTTTTTTCCTGATTCTAGGTCTTCCTACAGTAGTGCCCAGAAGTAACATGGGAAGAGTAAAACCAAGTTTAAGAACAGGAATGAAGTAATCAAATTAGGCAACTTGCTTCCTAGGATAGAATATTCAAAACATTTTACTTCTACGGAATCCAAAATATTTAATTGTACTTGGTTGAAATAATTAGACAAAATTAGGATGTAGCGATGTAAACATGAAATGAGAGCATGCAAGAATTAGAATGTGTAAGGAGTCATGTATAAACAGAGTTACCAGTAAGATCCTCCATGTTTGATGGCTTCATGTCAATAATGTTGAAACACTGATCACTGATATCAAGATTCCACAAATTGATTCTAAGGTCGTCTGCCGAGACAAAGGTCTCATAATCACTGTGGAGGTACCACGACGCCACTTTTATTCAATTTTGTAACTAACAATGCAAATAAAATGAAGGTGTATTTCTATTATGTTTACACTGTGACAAAAAAACAGGATACTGAGCATTTATAGAAAACAGTTATTAAAACCGGAGTGATCATTTAGCAGGTGTTATTAATTCAATGTTTCAACGGGATTGAGCATGATTTAATAAAAATAATTTATTTTATATATTTTAGTAATATAATAAAATACTAAATATTAAATAAAGCTATTAGTAATTACAAGTTTCTTAAAAAATAAAACAAATATAATTATTGTGAAGATTGTCGTTATTGATAATGAAATATAAATATTGGAAAATAACTATTTTTTTAGGGTACATTATTCTCATAAGACTTAAAAAATAAAATATTTTTAGGATCGTCGTTATTTTTACAAGGCAAAGGAAAGAAAAAATGAATTAAAATGTTTTATCCTTTAAAAGAAATTAAAATATTTTCATTTATAAAAAAATTCAAAAAAACCGGTTTAACCCTTAAAAACTCACAATTTCACCGATTTTTCGATTTTCATCGTGAGACACTAATTTTTTAAAAACAACATACAAAGTTTCCAAGTCGGTTCGGTTCAACCGGTTGAATCCGCGGTCCGATCAGATTTTTACAACACTGATCCATAGTAAAAGAGAAACAGAATGCACCTATTGTTTGAGACGGAGTTGATATTGAAACTGTGAGCAAAAGCATACACCTTTTGGCATTTTGCACGAAAAGGATCTTCCCTTCCACTAACCTGATAACAAAAATATATCAACCAACGGTCATGTATTTGTAGACAATTTTTTCTTTTCAGCAGGAGACATTGACAAAACTCAAGCACTGCTATTTCCACATGAACCAACCTCGCTATCAACGCCTTGACTTGGCAAATGATTCGGAGACGTCTTCTGTATCCATTCCAAACGATAACCATTAGCAGCAGACTTGAGTTCCAGCTCTGGTACGAAACTTCTTTCAGCCAAAAGCATATTTTCTGAACACAAAGGAGGTGCCATTTCTATAACTCGTTTCACCTTATGCTCCTTAACCTAACCAGAAACACCACACAACACAAAAAGAAAGCAATAAGATATTATTCAAATTCGGAACATAAGGTGAAACAGGTTAGGGTCTCCTTATACAAATTGGCCAATTAAACACAGCTAGTACTAGAATTACAAATTACAAGGCATGTTCAAACCTTCCACAATTTAATTGTTTTATCGTTGGTTGAAAGAATAAACTGCACACTGTCATGGGTCATCCACCACCTTACTTTGTTAATCTTCTCATCAATTTCCACACTCCTTAGGTAATCAAACTACATATACCAATAATAGTAGTAGTGTCAAATAATTGAACCATAATAAAGACATAAATTTTATCTGTGTAACAATTTTGTACATTTTTTATTTAATAAACCGAGAGAGAGGGAAAGAAAAGAGAGAAAAAGGTACACTATGATGGTTAATTGAAATAAAAATACTAAAAAAAATAAAAAAAATAAAACATGCAATGCAATCTATTTTTTCATAATGCTATGATGTTAAGTTCAAATATAAAAAGGAACTAAATCATATACAAAAATTTAAAAAAATATTATCATTTCTCCTACACATTCTTTAGGAGTAAAACAATAATAAAATTAATCTCTATTAGAAATCATTCTAAATAGTATTTTATGTGTTAGAAAATCCTTCAAATTGGTCCATGAATATAGGTAAAATAATATTCTAGAAATTATTAAAAAAATTCTATTACTTTGTATATTAGTTAGGAGAAATGATAATCCTGAAGATCAGATTAATAATATATTCTTTAATAAATTTTAGTAGAATAATAAAGAGTGTGCCATAACATATCTAAGAATTAATAACTTTTGCCTTTGATAACGTAAAAATCATATTTACTGCATGATATCAATGTTTTTAAAATGGGGATCGGTAATGACGTGAGATTTAATAAAATAATATTTTTATAATATAATAAATATATAATAAATTTATTAATATTATATTTTTAAAAAATAATAAAAATTATAATCATAATATAATAAAAACTATAAATATATTAAAAAATATAAAATAAATAATTATTAAAATAAATTAAAAATATAATAAAATAATTATTATTTAAAAATAAATTAATTAATATAAAATAAAAATATTATATTGTATTATATTTTTATAAAAATTTATATTAAAATAATTTTATTTTATTTTTTTTAAATCGATTGGACTAAAAAATTCTAGTAATTTTTTTAATTATTTAAAAAAAACATACTAATTTTTAATTTAATTTTCTATTCACCTGGTTTAACTAATCGATTTGGTCCTATTTTCAAAACGATCCATCAACAAATACTATATTAGCTATGATGAAAATAACTAGAGATGAAAATTGATATTCTAACAATCTATATTTATCAAATATCTTCCTTATGACTCTTTTTTATAAACATAAATTTAATTTATTATTATATTAATTAAAACAGTTGTTGGAAGGTTATTTTTTATCAATATCTATCATTTTTTGATAGAAATTAAGCTCTTAAATAAATTAAAAATATATTATATAGAGTCAAGTATTGAATAAATAATATAGAAAAGACAAATTACGAACGTGCCTCGGGCTCGTGGCTCTGAAATTCCGTCTTGTAACGAAATTTGGGATGCCACAAAGTTGCCAAATCCCGCTGCTCCAAATCTCTTCGATTACTCGAAGCCTAACAACAACGAAACACATCACAGATTTCAGATAAAGGGCGTTTCGAATACCGAAGCGAAGAATGTGTATGGCGACGTGAATCGCGTGATACTCACACTCTTTTTCCGATCATCTCGTTCGAATAATATAACGCGTCCACCTCGATCGCCAACGGCGAGATAATCGCCGCGCTTCTCGAACGCAACGGTGGTTATGATGTCGTCTGAACAAGACAAACGAAACGAACAATAAACGGCAAGCGAATGCGAGAAAAAGCAGAGTTAAGAGTTTCGAATTACGACAAACCGTTTTGGGGAGTCTCGTTGAGAAGTTGTTGGCCGAGTACTTGAGAGAAGTTCCATTGGAGAGGAACAGAAGGCGAAGAATCGGTGTCAGCCATGGGTGGTGCTAAAACGACAACGTAGCGCGCACGTTCATTCTGGTCCCGATGAACTGAAGAGTCCACTTGGTTTTGGAAACTTGAAGAAGAAAACAAAAGTTGGGTTTGGGTGTGTCGTTGTCGTCGTGGTGATTCATCCACTTGCAATTGCAAGTTCGTTAGAGGGGAGAAAATGCGCGCGCCACACAACTTCATTGGGTGAGTCGAGGCAGAGGATAAGGCCCGGCCCACATGGCAATACCACCATGGTCCACGGCCCTCTCTTATATTTTTTTTTAATATTTAGTTTGTTTGTTGTCCATGTAAATATTTTAAATTTTATATTAAAATATAAGTATTATACAACCATGTCCGAGTTTAAAATCCACAAGGACTTAGGGAAAATTTATGTTTGGAATTCCACTACAATGTAATTTATTAAATTATATTTCAGTTTTTAAGCTATTTTAATTTTCAACTTATTTATTAAATTTAATAAATTTAATATCGAATTTATTTCAAAAAATTTTAGCTATTTTAATTTTCAAATTATTTATTAAATTTAATTAATTTAATATCGACATCTCATTTTTATGGTTATTCATTGGATCTCATTATGTTACAATATGGTTTATAATACAAGTTGAATCTTACAAAAAAAAAAAATTAAAAATTTGACCATGACAACCATTATAAGTATCATTATATTATAACCATATGCATCTAAAAATAGTTAAAATTTTATTTTAGTTTAATAATTTTAACAGGAAAATATTTCATTTTATCAGTAGTTTAATACCTTCAATCCAGATATTAAAAAAAAGAAATCAAGACTAGTAATATCGCATTAATATTCTTAAAACATAAATTTGTTTGAATATTAATGTATTATTATTATTATTATTTATTGTCCTTCAAAATTATTAAATATTTTAAATTAATTTTTAAAATGTTTTAAACATGCTGTGAATAAAAATAAATTCATCTATGAAATAATAAAAAAGTAAAACAATTACTCCTTAACTAAATGTGTGATTTTTTTTTACTATTTTTTATAAAAAGTATTCTTTCATTAAGTATACTATTTATTTCTGAAATTTAATCTCAGTATTTATTTTAATTATTTTTTCGAATTAAAATCAAATGTATACTAATTTCCTTATAAACTCCTAAACGAACAATTAACTTCTCAAATCATATATCATAATATATTTAATGTATACATAATAAAGTCACAAAATCTAATTAGTAATTAAGTATAACTTTTTTAATATTATATTTATCACACATGGGTGCTGTTTTATTAAAAGGAAAGCCAATAATTAATGGATTTTCTATAGAGATAAAAAAAGAAAGATAATATCGTATTTATTTTTGTTTGTACACTTCAAAAAGTATACATACTCACCCATAACCGTGTAAGTGAGAATTTTAATTTTCATACCAATATATTTATATCCGTTATTTGCAATTTATATAATATTTTAAATAACAAATATTTATTTAACACACAAATTTATACAATATTGTAAACATAATTTTTTAGTATAACCATTTCTAAATTTCATGTAAGAACAACTTTATAATAAATAACTCATGAACCAATTTTTTCTTATTCTAACTCCTTATAATTCAATTCATTAATCTTCCTCGTCACAGAGGCAAACAAAATTTGATAAAATAATACACAATCATGGATTTGAAATCAATTATTTAGGTCACTTTTAAATTTACCACTAATTAAATAGGATAAGAAAGCACCCAACAATAAAGAAAAGAGAAAGAAAAATAAGTTTACTTAGGATAAGAAGTCCTCAACAAATTGGAACAAAATCACAAATAAAATAAAGAACAAAAATGTTGGAACTAGAGTGTGTTTTTATAAACAAATACTTAACTGATTGGAATAGGACATAATCTTGTTAGGAAACCGAAAGAGGTGGAGAGGTGTTTGGATCCTCAGCTATGGCATGCGTGTAGGTGGTATGGTGCAGATGCCAGTAGATGATTATCATATTGATTTCTATCATATCCATTACCGATCATGAATGCATCAAACCTCTTTTACCATTGCCTCGGGGACTGCTTCAAGCCATACAATGACTTTTTCAACATGCATACATGTTCCTTCTTTTCAAGAACCCGGTTGACTCATGTAGATTTGTTCCTCTAACTTACCATGTAAGAACGTAGTCTTCACATCAAGCTGTTCTAGCTCCAAGTCAAACGTACTCACAATAGCTAATAGGATCCGAATCGAGCTATGCTTCACCACAGGAGAGAATACTTCCTGGAAGTCAACACCCTCTTCTAAGTAAAGCCCTTTGCTATCAGTCTTACCTTGAACCTTGGAGGTTCAATGTCCTTGATTCCTTCTTTCCTCTTGAAAACTCATTTGCAATCAACTGTTCTTTTCCCTTTTGGTAGTTGTACTAGCTCCCACATCTGATTTTTCTGAAGAGATTCAATCTCCTCATTCATTGTTATTAGTCACTTCTCTGACTCTTTATTGTTTACTACATCACGATAGGTAGGGGGTTCATCTTCTATCGCACCATCCTCTAAAGCCAAAGCAAAGGCTATAGGATCTGCATTTGACAAGTCAAGTACACAGGCAATAGAGTTTCGATATCTTACAGGTTTATGAATTACTCGTCTATCTCTGCCAGTAGCAATGTTGTATGGTTCTTCATTAGTTTCTTCATTAACATCCCTATTGTCGGGTTCATCTCGTTGTTCTACTTTAGGTTGATTAGTACCTAAAGTACTCGACTGATTTGCATCTTCTTCTTGATTCATTTTCCCAACGTCAATGTCTAGCTCCACCTGTTTCTCAGCACCATAATCTGTTACTGCTTGATCTCTGCAAGATTCCCGTTTCTGATTTACTATTATTGCCTCGTCAATGTGATATCTCTACTAACAATGATCCTGGGTAAAGATGGTTTTTCATTACACCACAGTTTGTATCCTTTCACCCCTCGTGCATACCCTAGAAATATACACCTTCTTGCCCTCGCCCCAAGTTTACCATCTCTCACATGGATATATGCAGGACAACCAAATATCTTCAAATAAGAATAGTTTACAGGTCGACCGGACCATACCTCTTGTGGAATCTTCATATCAATCGCAATTGATGGATATCTGTTTACCAGGTATACAATTGTATTGACTGCCTCAGCCCAAAATGATTTGGGAAGTTTAGCGTTGATTCGCATGCATCGTGCACACTGTAGAAGTGTCTTATTCATCCGTTCTGCAACTCCATTTTGCTGTGGTGTTCCAGGTACAGTATGGTGCCTCACTATACCTGCCTTTCTGTAAAACTCCTGAAACTCTTTGCTGCAGAATTCTCCGCCATTATCGGTTCTCAATCTTTTGACTGATCGCCCGATTTGCTTCTCGACCATGGCCTTCCACTGTTTGAATTTCTCGAACACTTCATATTTTTGCTTTAGGAAATAAATTCATACCTTCCTAGAATAATCATCGATTAGAGTAAGGAAATAACGAACTCCACCCAATGAGTTAACAGGGGCAGGACCCCACACATCTGAGTGAACATACTCTAATATCCCCTTGCTGATGTGTTTTGCACGACCGAACTTCACTCGTTTCTGTTTTCCAAATACACAATTTTCACAGAAATCGAGTTTTCAATTCTTCAAACCTTTCAGCAGTCCTCTATAAGCAAATATAGACATCCTATTCTCGCTCATATGATCAAGCTGCATGTGTCACAATCGCATAGCATCATCATTTGATCTCTCAAAAGATGTGACAGCAACAGTCCCAAAGACTATGTTCCTAGTAATAGATAGATCCCTCCTTGTAACTTTCCTTTCATCGCCACCATCGAGCCTTTGATAACCTTCAAGAAATCACCTTCTCATGAGAACTTGTACCCCTGGTTGACTAGGGCACTCAATGAGATTAGATTTCTGCCTAGTTCTGGTACATGCCATGCCTGAAATCTCCACTCAGTGTCATCGTCCAATCTGACTCGCACCTCTCCTTCGCCCACAACGACAATGACCTTGTTGTCTCCCAACTTGACCTTTCCTTTCCGCTTTTGATACGAGGAGAAAAAATGTCTATTAGGTGTCATGTGAAAAGATGCGCCAAAATCCAAGATCCACTCTTTACTTGAGTCATTAGTGGAAACTGTAAAGGCAGACTCGACATCACTATCTTCTGAACTCTTAACTATTACGTTGGCAAAACTTCTTGATTTCTTTCTCTCAGGACAATTTCTTCGGATATGTCCTGCTTGGTGACAATGAAAACACTGTTGCAGGTAGCATCAATTGTCCTGTGACGAAGGTCAGGTGGGCCGAGTCACAATTGAATCGTGGCGCTTGGGCTGTTAAAGTAAAAAGAGTTGCGCTCTGACTAACGGCTATAGCTTTTGGCCTAGTGGTAAGCGCTCGATCCTAACAATTGGTATCAGAGCGCAACTCTTTTTACTTTAACAGCCCAAGCGCCATGATTCAATTGTGACTCGGCCCACCCGACCTTCGTCACAGGACAATTGATGCTACCTACAACAATCTCCCCTCAGCAATTGTCCTACAAGGTATCCCACTCTTGGATTGTGACTTGGCCCACCCGGCCTCCGCCACGGACAATTGTGCAACCTGCAACAATCTCCCCTCAACAATTGCCCACCAGGAATCGAACTCGTGACCTTGGCTCGATACCAATTGTTAGGATCGAGCGCTTACCACTAGGCCAAAAGCTATAGCCATTAGTCAGAGCGCAACTCTTTTTACTTAAGAGTAACAGCCCAAGCGCCACGATTCGATTGTGACTCGGCCCACCCGGCCTCTGCCACAGGACAATTGATGCTACCTGCAACAATCTCCCCCTCAGCAATTGTCCTACGAGGAATCCCACTTGGATTGTGACTTGGCCCATCTAGCCTACGCCACCGATTGTGACTTGGCCCACCTGGCCTGCGCCACGGGACAATTGTGCAACCTGCAACAATCTCCCCCTTAACTATTGCTCAACAGGAATCGAACTCGTGACCTTGGCTCTGATACCATTTGCAGCTTTGTCTGATCTTCCACATCAGAAAAGATTTGGTCTTTTTTCTTGGGAATCTCAGTTTAGAGAAGCAGTGGGAGCTTTCTTCGAAAGCAGTGAGAGCAATGGCATTGGAAGAAGGAAAGGTGAGGATCGAGAAGTTCGATGGCGGTGACTTCGGTTCT